AGGTAAGAAAGGAGAAATAGAATATTATCACCAAAATATAGTCCCACCTCTCTAAGTTCAAAGGTTTATGGGATCCAGAAGTGAAAGGGACTTCAGAAGCCATGGAGATCACCCTCCTCTTTGTACACATGAGGTCCTGCTGCCCAGAATGGTTAAGTGACTTGTCCACGGTCAAATAGGTGGCAAAGCCTAGATTCAAACCCAAGTCTTTCAAACTCCAAATCTAATATGCTTTCAACTGTAAGTGTGAAACCATTCCCACTGCTAAATAATGGACTAGAATTATATTCTTCCATTTCCATAATGGCTTTTCACCAGGAGAGCATTTTTGTTTGTTTTTTGTATCAGTTTTTGGGCCTCCTAACAGGGAAGACATTTTGAATTTCAGGATCTGTGATTTGGTGAGTATGACTGCTTCCTCCTCCAATGCAGATCATGAGTCATTGTGTAGGTAGTGATTTTACTTACTGAAGCCAAAAAATTAATCATCTAATGGCCATCCTTCTGGTGTTGAGTCTTTCTGAATTTAGCCAGGCCAGTCCTCCTAAGACAGATAGATGAACAGCAGCTACGCTCACTCTCAAAGACTCGGAGTCATCGCTGACTCTTTCCATCCCCTGACATCATGAGCTCAGTCCTAATCAATACTGCATCTGCTTTATCGAGCTACTCTCAACTCCCCTTATTCAAGCTTTCATCTCATATGTCATTGGCTCAAAGATTTAGAGGCCAAAGAAACCTTGGAGGTCATCCAATCCAACTCTTCATTTTACAAGGAGGAAACTGAGGACAAGAAAGGGTAACAGCGTTAGTAAGTAGAAGAGCCAGATTCTCTGCTCCAGATTAAACACTGACTCCACTGCACGAGTAGTTTCTCTTCTCATGTAAGCTAGCACAAGGACCTCCCAACCAGGCTTCCCATTTTGATCCTTAGACTGCTGAGTAAGCTTCAAACATACTATGCTGTTCCTATTACTCTTCTACTCAAAAGTTCCATGTAGCTGACTCCAGCTGGGTTCTTGATGCAGGCATTCCAACCCACCTTTCCTGTCTTATCTCAGATTGGTATTCCTGTATTCTAGGTTCCGGCCAAACTGGACCCCTCTTCATTCCCTGTTTTAATCCTGTCCTCACCCATCTCTGAGCCTTTATCCCTGCAGTGCCCACCCCTGGAATAGCCTCTCTTCTCCATCTCTATCTTTTGAAGTCCTTCCATGCCTTCCAAGTCCTAATCAGATGCCAAATTCTCCACAAAGCCAAGATGGAGAATGTCCAGAGCAAGGTGACCAGGATGGGGGAGGACCTTGAGTTTTTGCCATGGAAAGATGAGTTAAAGGAAATGGGGATGTTTATTCAGGAGAAGAGAAGACTTAGGGAGGCCTTGGTACCTGCCTTCAAATAGCTGATGGACGGTCACATGAAACAGGAAGTAGACTTGTATTGCTTGGCCCGGGAGGACTTAAGGTTGCAAAGATGCTGACTCAGCCTTGAGGTCAGGAAAACCTCCACATGATAGCGCTCTCTAAAAGGCAGCTGAGTGGCGGAGTAGGTAGATAACTGACTGAGAGTCAGTTCAAAACCAACCGCAGACTCTTACTAGCAGTGTGACCTTGGGCATGTCACTTACTCTTTGTTTCCTCAGCTGTAAAATGAGGGTGATTATAATAGCCCTTCCCTCCCAGGGCTGTTGCGAGGATCAGAAGAGGTGCCGTTTGTAAAGCACAAGAGAATAGTGTCTGATGAAGGATGGGTGTTTAATAAATAAGCACCTTTCCTTCCCCTAAAAGCAGGATTAAGTACCTCAGTGTGTAGTGGGCTCCAGCTCACTGAACTTTGAGTACTAGTTGGATTGCACTTGCCAGTAATATTGAAGGGGGGATTTTTGTTCTGGTACCACTGAGGCTCCTCCCAACTCCAAGATACAATGGTGTGACTTAGTGGGACAGTTATCTTAACAAATTCCATTACTTTAAAAAAAAAAGGTTTTGTTTTTCTATTTCAAACAGCAGGAAGTCTGACCTTTTGACCAGAATTTACTGGTCTCTGCTACGGCATGATGTTAGGACATTTTTTGTCATCATGTCAGTACTCTGATGGGTCCATTCCCTCCAGTAGTGCAGATTCTCATCCATCCATACTTTTTCATCTCTAGTGACTTGACCATATTCTCCTAAAAATCCTTCCTGGACAATTTTCCCAATGCACTGATGACCTTCCTTTGGGTCTTTTCATATTTTATGGGGACCAGTGAAGGTCTGTTGCTATCCCCCCCACTCTTGATCTCTGACTGGACCCACCCCCCTTTCCAATCAGACATTTATTAGATGGTACCTTACCTTGCATGTTATCATTAATAATAATATTAATAAGTGATCAGTAATAAATAGAAGGCGAGCTGCTTGAGAGTAGGGTCTGCTTCTTCCTTCTCTTTGTATCTCCAGGGTTTAGCAAAATGACATGTTACACAGTAAGAACTTAGTAGGTATTTGCTGATTTATGCTAATCTGCTGTCTGCTTCCCCCTACTATGTGTCTTTCCATTGCTGGGGGAGTTACCCACTACTCAGATTCTTAGATTATAGCATTTCAAGATTTGCTAAAATATAACATCGTAAAATATAACAGTCGTCCTGATCTTTATCTGGCCACTGGACCCAGATGGCTCTGGAGGAGACAGTGAGGCTGGTGTCCTTGCCCAGCCCTCCCTCACTTAAATCCAGTTCACCTGCAGGTCATGACATCACCTTGCTGATGTCATGGTCCTCTTCAAGAACAAAGCATAAGCAACAATAACAACAGCAGAATGTAGCATCCCTGGGAAAATGCTCTGTCTCTGCATCAGAGCAGCAGGGCCTTTCACCTACTTTCTTACCACATATGAAGTTGTACTCTTTTAATAAGTTATTTACAGATTCTTGCCAGATACCTCAAAGACTCTATGTCGTCTGGCACATAACAACGCCCACTTCAGTTGAACTGTCCTGAAGGTCACTTACAAGGCCAGCTCCTAGTATGGTGGTTTCTTGGGCGTTAATTGTTCATGTGACTTGTTTGCATGAGCAAAACACTTGCGGCCAGTGGTCAGCAGTCATGAGTCAGAACCAGGGAGAGGAGGCTCCTGCCAGCTTTCTCCTGTTGCAGCCTCCTTTCCACAAATCATCATAAATATTGCCAAATTTCTCTTCCCAGCATTTTGCAGCATAAGGAATCCTTTTTCTGATTTTTTTTCCCCATTATTCAAAAACAACCCTAGTTACTGTTGGGGGTTTTTTGGTCATTGTTGTAGTTGATGTTATTAGATAATTATTTATGTATTTATTTGTGATTAATGAGCAAAATGAACAAGTATTATTAGAATGCTTATCAATACTGGACAGAGAGCTGGGAAGTCAGGAAGGCTGATCTTCCTGAGTTCAAATCACGCCTCAGACACTTCCTGGCTGTGTAACCCTGGGCAAGTCATTTTACCCTGTTTGCCTCAGTTTCCTCATCTGTAAAATGAGCTAGAGAAGGAAATGACAAATCACTCCAAGAAAACCCCAAATGGGATCAGAGACAGTTGGACAGGATTGAAAAATGACTTAACACCAATAGTTACTATGTTAAACAATTGTGCTAAAATCTAGGGCCTACAAAAGTCACAGAAGACATGATACTTTTCCTTTGGTTCCTTACCATCAAGTTCTATGTTTATCATTTATCTTCTGAAAAGGAAAGGAAACTCTCAAGAGTGAAATTCTGGTGGCGCATAAGGAGAAGAGGAGGAGAAGTTGTTGTGACAGACAAATGTGGATGCTCAAGGAACTCACCATCCAGCATTGTTGGTGAAAGGCATGTAAAGGGTTCCTTCAGGAGGTGTCCATTACTAGCTATCTCTGACCTTGGGCAAGACACTAAGCTCCCTGGTCTTTGGTTTCTTCATCTGTAAAATAAAGGGGTTGGGATAGTTGGCCTCTGAGGTCCTTTCCAGCTTTAAACCTATGATCTTAGTCAAAGCTAGAGGTATTGTGAAAAGATGGGTACACTCATACATTGTTGGTGGAGCTGCAAATTGGTCTATCCATCCTCAAAAGCAATTCCAGTCATGAAAGAAAGTAACTAAAATATCTATCTTCTTCAACTCAGAAATTCTACTGCTTGGTCTAAACCCTGAGGAGGACAATGACAAAAAGAAAGTTCCCATACAGACCAAAATATTTACAGCACTATTTTTTGTAGTAGCAAAGAATTAGAAACAAAGTAGATGCCCATCAATTGGAGAATGGCCAAACAGGTCCAGCCCTTGTTCCTTCTCTGATTTGCCAATAGTTTTGCCCCAAGATTCTTTTGGAATGTAGAAAAACCATATTCTAGGTAGCTCTTTAAGACAACAAGTCACAGAGAAGTTTCTGAAGGTGCCAACCTGCATTGATAGATGGAATCTCTTCAAGCAGGAGATCCCTGTATTAATGAAAGTGCAAGTCCAGTAGCTGTCCACAAAACAAGCCATGAACACAGTTTGGAAAATGGCCCAGTTCTGCAACAATGTCCCAAGTGCTATAGCTGGGAAAGAATGACAAGTCCAATCCAATCAATGTTTATTAAGTACCTACTGTGTTCCAGTCACTAGGGATACAATGAATAAAAAGACAGCCCCTGCCCTCCAGAAGCTTACGATCTAACGAGGGGAGACAACACACAAAAGAAGGCAGGAAAGTGGGGGTGGGTGGGCACGAGGGAGTACCCTGACAGTTGAGACCAGACAGAGCAGCTGGTGCAGAGTGAGCTGGTCTTGTACCTGCCCTCTGTAAGGAAGGCAGTGGAAGAAGTTTGGTACTCCAATCACAGGGGAGAGGAAGCTGAGGCAGGTGGTGTCAATCACATTAGACAGGTGTTACCAGCAGTGATGAGCTTCACCTGGGGGAGCCTCCTGAGCCTCCTCCTCCTCCTCCTCCTCCTCCTCCTCCTCCTCCTCCTCCTCCTCCTCCTCCTCCTCGTAGAAACCAGTTGGAGCAGTAGATGCAGAGAGGAGTGAGCCCACAGGAGGAACAGAACCTCTGCTCACAGTGAGTAGAATGATAACAGGCAGCAGAGGGAAAAAAAAATCTTTCCAGCTTTCCTTTCTTTCTGTTTTCCTACCAAAGGAGAATAATCTCTGGACTGGAAAAGACAGAATGATGGTGGCTGTCCATGAGATGAAAACTAAAACAAGTATGACGATGATGAGCAACCTCCAAGCAGCTCTTGATAACAGCTAATGTTTCTATAGCAGCTACTATGTGCCAGGCACTGTGCAAAGCACTTTACAGTTATCTTCTTGGATCCTCACACAACACTGGGAGGCAGGTGCTGGGGTCTTCTTGACAGCAGGTCCAGGACCCTATCCCCTATACCACTTAGCTCCTCCAGGAGCTGGGGATATAAGTACAAAGAATTAAACAATCCCTCCTTTCAATGAGCTTACGTTCTAATGGCAGAGGTAGCTACATATACAAATATATGCAGCATAAATATAAATATGTACAGTAATAAATACGAATTTGTTTTGAGGCAAGGACACTGGCAGTTGTGGGGGAGGGGGTAAGACCACGCAGAAGATGGTGCATGAGGTGTATCTTAAAGGAAGAGAGAGACTTGACGGGGGAGGGGAGGTAAGGAGGTAGTTCATTCCTGGCATGTAGAGTGGCCAGTGAAAAGGTACAAAGGTGGAGGGAAGTGGAGTATGGGCAGCTAGGTGACAAAATGGCAAACTTGGGCTCAAGGACACCCAAGTTCAAATCTGTGCTAAGACACATACATGCTGTGTGACCCTGGCTAAGTCACTAACCTCTGTCTACCTCTGCTTCCTCAGCTGTAAAATGGCGAGTTGTTGTGATGATGCAATGGGATTATATTTGTAAAGTGCTTTGTAAACCGTAAGACATTATATGGATGCATCTATTATTATTATTGATGAGAAACAGAGAGAAGGCTAGTTTGGCTGGATGCCAAGACAACACAAGGCAGAGGGGAGATCCAATGAAGCTGGAAAGATAGGTAGGGGCCAGGTTAGACAGGGCCTCAAAAGCCAAACAGAGAAGTTTCTATTTGCTCCTCGAGGTTGGGTGAATGAGGGAGTCACGTCGTCAGGTCTGAGGTTAAGGAAAATCCCATCAACAACGATGTGTATGATGTACTAGAGTAGGGAGAGATTTGAGCCTGGGAGAGTGTTCCAATGATCTAGGTGAGGGGTGATGTGGGCCAGAACCAAGGCTGTGTAGACAGGGGGTCGATGTGTTTGTTGTGAAGATAGAGATGGTGAGGTTTGGCAGCTGATTGGAATGTGGAGGAAGAGCAGTAAAAGTCCAGGATGATGACAAGATTTCAAGTGAGATCATTGGGATGATGGTCAAAAATAGGAAAACTTACAAGAAGAGAGGGTTTAGGAGTACAATAATGAGTTCAGTTCTAGACAGATGAGTTCTGAATTGTCGCCAGTAATCTACTTTGAAGTATCAAACAAGCAGCTGATGAAATGATCTTGAAACTCCAGGAAGCTCCTGGAGAATACTAAGAATCATTTGCATAGAGATGCTCATTCAACCCCCCGGAATGGAGGAAGTTACTGAGAGAGAGGGAGAGAGAAGAGGGTCTCAGACAGAGCCTAAGGGAATACCCACAGTTAGGGGGTGTGATGTAGATGAGCTGGCAAAGGAGGCTGAAAAGGACCAGGCAGGCAGGTAGGAGGCAAACCAGGAGACAGCAACGTCCTGAAAACCCAGAGAAAAAGGTGTCCAGAAGGAGAGAAGGGCCAAGTGTGAAATGAAGAAGTGGGTTGAGAGGGATTAGGACTGAGGAAAGACCCACCAGATTTAGCAATTAAGAGATCATTGGTAACTTTATTTCTGCTCCCCGCTAATGCAGTGCCTCTGACTGGTTCAGTAGTTCTTCAGAATGAGAAAATGGTCAAATGACATGAACAGGGAGTTTTCCAGTGAAGAAATCAAAACAATGTATAATCATATGAAAAAATGCTCCAAATTATTATTGATCAGAGAAATGCAAATTAAAACAACCTTGAGATATCCTTTTACACCTACTAGATTGGCTAAAATGATTGAAGTTCCAGGAAAGTGAAAAATATTGAAGGGGATGGGGGAAAATTGGGACAGTAATTCATTGTTGATAGAATTGTGAACCATTTTGGAGAGCAATATGGAATTATGCCCAAAGAGTTATTAAACTACCTATATCCTTTGACCCGGCTATACCACCACTAGATCTGTTTCCAAAGAGGATTAGGAAAAAGGAAAAGAACCTCTATGTTCTAAAATGTTTATAGCAGCTCTCTTTGTGGTGGCAAAGAACTGGAAATTGAGGAGATGCCCATCAATTGGGGAATGGCTGAACAAGTTGTGCTATATGATTGTGATGGAATACTACTGTGCTGTAAGAAATGATGAGCTCAATGATCTTAGAAAAACATGGAAACACTTAGACGAAATAATGAAGAGCGAAATGAGCAGAACCAAGAGAGCATTGTATACAATAACAGCTATATTGTTTTAAGTGTAGCTTTGAGTGAATAAGTTATTTTGTATATTATAAATACCCACATTAAGTATAAAGGACATATGAAGAAAGATGCTATCTGAATCCAGAGAAAGAACTGCTAAATAGAAGTATGTATAGAATAATTTTACATATATGTGTATATATCCACATACATACATATATATCCACACATACATATATATACATATATACATACCTACACACACACACACACACACACACACACACACACACACACACACATATATATATACCTATTTGTGTCTAATGGTAGCCATCTCTAGGGTGAGGTGGGGTAGAGAAGAAAAAAAGGGGAAAAAGAAATGTACCTGATAATTTTGTTATATATTTGCAAGGAAGAGCAAGTTGTGCATAGTCGATTTGCAGTTTCACACGCAATCATCTTTTTCATTATACTATGTTATGGAAATGCTTGTTGTATTCCATAAATTAAAAATAAAATAAATTTTTTTTAAAAATAGGGCTAATTGGGGAATGAGTAGAGAGAGAAACCTCCTCTTCCTTCCTGCAGGACATGTCTGACACAGGTAGATCCTGGCTTGCAATCTCTCCCATTCTTCAGTTACCAAACTCCCCAGTCCCCAATCATTGAAAGCCTCCAGAAGCCTGGATGAACTTCCTGCTCCACCCCCCACACTGTTTCCTTCTTGGCCCAATCAGAGAAGCATTCACTGCTCATAAAAGGATCTGGGTGAAGCCCATAGTGTTGTCCTATTAAAACCTTGTAAGATATGACAAGCTTCCGTGGTTACTTGAAGTGAGTCAGGAGGAAGGGGAGGAGGACCGCGTCCTTTGCGTTCAGAGAGAGGGAACGGAGCCCAAGACAGCCTAAGTCACTTGCCCAAGATATCACAGTGGCAGAGCCAGGCTTTGAATTCCGGTCCTCCGAGTCCAAACTCTGCTTCGTTTTCCTCACAACAATCCTTCCCATCCTTTTAGGCAGCTCTCATGTCCCTGCTAAGCCTTCTCTTCTCCAGTCCCAGCATCTCCAGCTCCTTAAACTCATCCTTGTCTGTCCTGGTCCTCAGGTCCTGTAGAGCAACCAGCTTGTACTGATGTGTGCAAAGTGTTTTGTGAATTTTGGAGTGCCGTCTAAGTGGCTTTTCCTTCTTCTTTCTTCTTGTCAAAGTCGCTCCTAAAATGTGGCAGCCAGAACAGCACACAGTACTCCCGATGCATTTTGACCAAAGAGAAGAGTACGTGCAGTAAGATGGTCACATCCTTTGTGAAGGACCCTTCCAGATATTTCAGGGACCTGGGACTTGGTGGCCCTGGCAATTCCCCCACTGATGGGAGGAGCGATTCTTCTATGATGTAGCAAATAGTCTTTGAGGGTCATGAGTGAAATATTCATCCCCCACCCCCAGCCCATTTGGGAGCCATCCCTGAGGTGATGAGCCTTCCTGAGCTCCACTAGCCTGGTCCTCGGACGGCAGGCACACTGTCCATTCCTAGGTCGTACTCACAGCTAGCCCAGCTTGGTAGAAACCACTAGAGCTTGTGTTCAGCTGGCAGAGCCTTTGGAGAATCCGGGATCACCTCTACAGCGCCATGAGGTGTGAGAGAATTGAGAGTTGGAAGAGCCTTCTTTAGTGGCCATCTCGGGTCCCACCTAGACAGCCAAGGCAGCCCCATCATAGCAGACCTGACAAGTGGGACCTTGGAGGGGAGAGAACCCCCTTTCACCCTAGGAAAGCTCTAGTGGTTGGGATTCCTGAGAGCAAGACTCAGTTTCCCTTTTCCATCTTCTACCTATTGCTTCTAGCACCAACTGGAACAGGTCAAATCCCTTCCACATACTTGAAGGTAAATTCTTTTTTTCCTGCAGGCAAATCACAGTTTAGTTTCTTCCAGAGATTGTCACCAGAGTCCCGGTCACCCTTCTGGGATACTCTCCAGCTTTTCCAAAGGCTTCTCCTTGACCACAGCACCTGGACACACCAGGGCAAGGTGGATGTGGCACCATGCCCTCCCCCAACCCTCTCCTGGAAGCCTCATCTTTCTTCCTATGGCCTGTGGTCACAGCAGTGAATCCCAGTGAGCTTGCAGTCCCCTAAAAACCCAAGAGCTTTTCCAGACAGGCTGCTGCCTAATCACACTGCCAGCTTCTCTCTAACTAGTTGTCCCACAGGGCTCAGCCGTGGGCCCTCTTCTCTCCTCTCTCTATCCTACTTCTCTTGGTGATCTCATCAGCTCCCATGCATTTAATGACCATCTCTATACTGAGGATTCTCAAACCAATCTTTCCTGCCCCAAACTCTCTGTTGACCTTCAGTGTCACATCTCCAACTGCCTTTCAGACATCTTAAACAGGATGTCCAGCAGACACATTAAACTTAATATGTCCAAAACAGAGCTCACTATCTTTCCTCCTAAATTCTCCCCCCTCCTATCTTCCCTATTACTGTAGAGGGCAACACCAACCTCCTAGATCCTCAGACTTCAACCTTAGGAGTCATCCTGGACTCCTCACTATCTCTTAATGCCCATCCCCACCGCATCCAATATGGTGCAAAGGCATGTCAATTTCATCTCTGCAACATCTCTATACGATATGCCTCCCTCTCTCCTCTTATACTGCCCCCACTCTGGTGGACCTAATCACCACACACCTGAGCTTTTTCAATAGCTGCTGGTGGGTCTGCCTGCCTCAGTTTCTCCTCAATCCAAGCCATCCCCCTATTAATCATTAAAGTGATTTTCCTAAAGTACAGCTCTGGTCCTGTCATTCCCTGCTTAATAAACTCCAGTGGCTGCCTATTATCTCCAGAAGCAAATAGAAAATATTCTGATTGACATTCAAAGCCCTTCATAATCGGTTCAGTGGTTTAAGTTGTGTCCAGCTCTTCATGACCCCATTTGGGTTGTTGTGTTTTTTATTTGTTTGTTTGTTTTTTGGCAAAGATACTGGAGTGGTTTGCCATTTCCTTCTCCAGATCATTTTATAGATGAGGAACTGAGGCAAACAGGGTGAAGTGACTTGCCCAGGGTCACACAGCTAGTAAGTGTCTGAGGCCACATTTGAATTTGGTTCTTCCTGACTCTATCTACTGCACCACCCAGCTACCATCTAGCTTCATCACTTAGCCATCTCCTACCTTTCCAGTCTTCTTACACCTTACTCCCCAATATGTACTCTTCAGTCTAGCGACACTGACCTCCTGGCTGTTCCACATACAAGATACTGCACATCTAGGCTTCAGGCTTTCTCTCTGGCTGTCCCATGCCTGGAATGCTTTTCCTCCTCCACTCCCATGACTGCCCTCACTGGCTTCCCTTAAGTCCCAAATAAAATCTTACCTTCTACAAAGGTGACTTCCTCTGTTAACGATTTCCTATTTATCCTGTATATGGCTTGCTTTGTACATATTTGTTTGCATGTTGTCCTCCATTAGACTGTGAGCTTCTTGAAGGCAGGGCTTGTCTTGTAGCACAGTGCTTGGCACATAGTAGATACTTAATAAATGTTTGTTGATTGATTGATTGAAGTTGATTTCTTGGCCCTGTGTAGGAGACTTTACATTTGTCCCTAGTGAATTTCACTGGAGTTGATCTAGCTCAGTGCTCTAGCTAGCCTGTTAAGATCTCACTGGACCCTAAGTCTGTGATTCACAGAGATGCACAGATTTAGAGAATTCATCCCAGATGTTCACATGGACTATTTGTACCCGACCTTGGTGGAGTATTCCTAGCTCATATTGGTCTGATCAGTCACAGCTGAACACACTCTAGGTCGACTCTAACATACTGATGTCATTTTGGTCCCCTTCAAGAACAAAGGACAACAACCAGCCAGTTGATAAGCATCGATTACGTGCTTACTATGTGCCAGGAACAAGCTTGGGGATACAGAGACTTGGAAAAAACCACAGTTCCTGTCCTCAAGGAATTCACATTCTAATGGGGTACAGTCAATATGGCAACAACCAGGCATATCCAAGATGTCACCCCCAGCTTTATGTAGTGGGTACATTGGCTCTCTACTGAAAGACAATGCTGCTACTTTTCTTTTTACTTTCTTTATTTTTCTCATTTGTGTGTGTCTGTGTCTGTGTTTTCTTTTACAACATGGCTTTAATATGGGAATGTGTTTTGCATGACTTCATGTGTATAATCGATATAATGCTTGCCTTCCCAAAGGGTGGGAAGGAGGGAGAGAATTGGAACTCAAAATTATTTTTAAAAAAAGTTAAACTTTTTTATATGTAATTGGGAAATATTTAGCAAAACAAATAAAAATATATTTTTTAAAAAGGCACTGCTTCTCTCAGTGCAGCTTAAACAGAACCTGGACCTTCCTGCCTCTGAGGACTGGCTGTCTCTCCACTACACCCCTTCTAGGATCCTCCCTCAGACCCACCTCTGACACAGACTGACTGTGTAACCCTGAGTGAGTCACTGCCTTTCAGGGTCCAGGTAGCTCTCTTAGATTATGAATTGCTGAGAAGAAATCTGTGTTGGTGAAAGGTATTTCCAGACTGGGAACCCCATGCACTAATAAAATCAAAGATTTAGACAAAAAAAGAGATTATATTTAGCTTTTCTGGCTTCCAAATGTTGCCATGTTGCATGTATGTTGCACTCAGGGTCTGCCATGATTGATCCCTAACTCATTTTTGCACAACTGGCTTCTCTTCTCTTTAACCCAGATGTCGGGTTGATGGTTGTCCCTACCTATTACATTCCATCTTTCTAGATGCAGAAGACTTGTTCTAGGCTGTTGAGAATTCTTGGGATGCTGACTCTATCACCTAACAAGTTAGAGTTAGACTGTCACATGACACTCCTGCCCCATACCCCCTTTCCTTCTGCTCCCCATGTTGGGCCATCTCCAGATTTTAAAACATGCCAGCTAATCCCTTCATCCAAGTCATTGATCCAATAGTCAATAATGGAAGATGCCAGAGAGATTCCCAGAGATCCTCCTCCCTCCAGTTTGATTCCAATCCCATTAATTATGGCTGTGTGAATCTGGTCTTTCTGCCATCTCCAAATTCACTTGGCTGCACAGCCACCTAGACCCCACCTCCCCGCCTTGTCCCCAAGGACAGCATGCAGAGAACTTTGCATCCTTTCCTCACATTTACCTAGGTCTCTTAGCTGCTGTGACCAGCAGACCACGGCAGCGGTTGATTATCAGGGCTGTCCAGAAATTCCCCTTAGGTTGAGCTGCATCTGGGCAGCTGACTCACCCTCCTCCACGTTCCTGAGAGAGGACCTGACTTCAGCTAAGGTGACATTGAAGTCAGTGGACTCATGAGCTCATCTTTGGCCAGACCAATCATGCATTTTCTAGGAAATGGCATTGGAAGCTGTGCCCTGCGGCCTCCTTCCTCCTGGATGACCCAATCTGTCTTTTTGATCTCTCTTTTGCAACTCCCTGAAACTTCCTTTTGGTGTTCCCTGATCAAGGATGCTGGCTCAGTCCTGTTGCTGTTTCCTCCCCGTGTCACTTGGAGCCCAGTCCTTGCTGACATCTGCTGTTCTTGCCTTCAGTGCATTGTGGGATCTCGGCTGCATCCCATAGGGGCACGGGCTTGTGTACTCACTGTCCGGGGTCTCCTTGGCCAGCTGCTCTCTGCTCTGGGTTTTTCTTTGGGCTTTCCTCTGCCCTTTCTGACAATGCCATCTCCGTCTGCTTCCCTGATCGTCCTCCCACCCCCAAGCAGGAGCCTTCGCCAAAGGTCTGGCCCTCTTCTCTTTTTCCTCCCACTTGGTCTCTTGGTAACGCCAGCTGCTCCCAACGGTTCCAATATCACCTCTGTGTACGTGACACCCTGTCTGTATATCTGGCCCCCATCACCTGCATTTTCACCTGCCTTTTGGACCCTGCTTAGACACCCCATGGAAACACAGACCATCTAAAACTCAACCAATCATTCCATAACATCCTTCACCTTTTCTAAACTTCTCCATTTCAATTCATTTCAAGTACTACATTTAAGTAAGACACGCCCTCTGCCAGTAGAGCTTATAATATGGAGCAGAGATGTATACCACACCTTATCCTCTTTGACCCCAGGAGCAGACTGGCCAGGGGCAAAGATTGGGCCTGGGCAGATAGGTCAAGAGTGAATGTGGTCAGGGGAAGCTAGGCAGCAGTGGATAAAGCGCTGGCCCTGAAGTCAGGAGTACCTGAGTTCAAATGCGGCCTCAGACCAAACACTTGACACTTACTAGCTGTGTGACCCTGGGCAAGTCACTTAACCCCAATTGCCTAAAAAAAAAAATCATTAAAAAAAAAAGAGTGAATGTGGTCAGGGGCAGCTAGGTGGTACAGTGGATAGAGCACTGCCCTGGAGTCAGGAGGACCTGAGTTCAAATCCAGCCTCAGACACCTACTAGCTGTGTGAGCCTGGGCAAGTCACTTAACCCAGATTGCCTCCATAACAAAACAACAAAAATAGAGTGAACTTGGTCCACGGTGCTGGTGCCTTAGGTCAGAGGTGAGTACCAGCATCTTGGCCGATGATGCCCTCCTCCAAGACAGTAATGGTACAGACATCCGTTCGGTTGTGAAGGAGAGGTCCTTGTTGGATGGCCGATACCCATAGCTGGGCAGACCCTTCCCAGGTCATTGCCATGCCTGGCCCATTGAAGGCGTCATTGAAGGAGACGGCAGGATTCTTTGCTGCCCCCCACCCCAGACTTCAGCACAGGCCTACCTTGAGGCCTTCAGTCATCAATGAACTATGCCTGTACTGAGCTAGGGACCCCAACCCCTTCTCGGGCCTCTTCTGTGACTGGAGCCTTGGCTGGCTTTTCAGTGAGGCTCTGGCCTGCAGCCCTGGGCATGCCCCGTGTCGAGGTCACTGCTAACTCCCCCACTGTCTCCCTAGGCTCTGGGCTTCAAGCGGAGTTCTCAGGCCAGTGACTGCCAGCTCAATGTGGATACCTGTATGGCCCGCCTGGCCCAGTTACAACATTTCTGAGGGCCATGGGAGTTTTGTGAATGGCTGGGAAGCTAGCTCCCCATTCCTGCCCCAGCAGCCCCAGAAACTCTGCTGCTCTCTCCCTGGAGGCTTTGTGGCTCACCTAACTAGACCCAGATGTCTGTCTCCATTGCCACCTGCTGGTGTGGGACCCCAAAGTCCCCTCTGACGGCGTGAAGAAAGCCCGTTCCACAGGAAAACACACAGGTAGGTACATCTGGGTGACCCCTCACTGAGTGGCGTGTGCCACGACTGTGAGAGCCAGAGCCTGCCCAGCGCACAGGAGGGATCTGGCAGGGCCTGGCCCTGAGGTTACCCACATCCGGGTCCATCCACTGGCCATACAGGAAGGCTCCTTCTAGGCCTCAGCTCTGCTTCTGCCCCTAAAAGACCAGACTAACAAAGGAAGATGTCTAGACTTCCTGCCGCTGTCCTGCTTTGTGGAGCAGAGGGTAGGGGGAGAAGAAGAGCTGTTCCCGTTCCAGGAATGCACTCCTCTGCCCCCCTTAGAACTCTCGGCTCAAAGGGCTCCTCCAGTTAGGGGGCACAGTGGATGAAGCACCAGGTCGGGAGTTGGGAAGACATGAGTTCAAATCTGGCCTCAAACACTTACTAGCTGTGTAACTCTGGGCAAGCCACTTAACTCTGTTTGCCTCAGTTTCTTCATCTGTAAAATGAGCTGGGGAAGGAAATGGCGAACCACCCCAGTATCTCTGCCAAGAAAACCCCAAATGGTGTCATGAAGAATCAGACACAGCTGGACTGAAAATAATAATGGTAATAATAATTATTATTAGTACATGATGGGGGCCTTTCCAGATGGCCCAGCTGCCTCCCCAGCCCTTCCAATTACCTCGATGTGTTTTCTACATTTTTTGTCGTTGTTGTTTATGTTGTCTTCCTCCTTGTGGGCAGGAAAGACTTGATTTTTGTCTTTGAGGCCCTAGTACCTAGCACAGTGCCCGGCAAGGAGTAGATGCTTAATGCATACTGGCTGATTTTAAAATTAGACTGTAAGAGAGCAATCTGCTGGTCAGATGAAAGGTTATGTCAATTTGCCATCCTTCATCTGTGGGAATGAATGCGTTTTTTATTGAGGGGAGGGATGGAAAAGAGGGAGAAATTGAGAACGATGCCAAGTCTCTGCAGCTGAGTGCTTGAGTGCCTAGGATAATAGTGGAACTGGCCCTGCCCTCCAGTTTCTCCTACAGTTCATTGAGCTGGAAAGCCCCAAATACCACTGCCCTCATTGTTCTGGGCGGTAACAGCCCAGGAAATGGACAAGATGGCGCCTACACATATAGCTGGTGGCCCAGAACTTGAACTCTGATTTGACACAGACCCTGGTGCGATCTCAAAGGTTATCAGCGACTCATATTCTCCACGACTTGTTTTTGTCTCCATCCAGATAATTCATCTGGGGACATCAGGATCTAGCTCATTTTTAACTCTTGTCAAGGTATTCAGTGCTCCCTTGTAAGCACTGGGTTAACAAGGCATAGAATACAGAACAAGTCTATTACAACAAGGAGTGCAGAAAGGTCTCAGACCCAGCCTGGAGTCAACCAAGAACACTTGTCCCTCTGGGAAGTCCTGCTAACCCCAGGGACTTGCAAAGTTACTCCAGACTTGAGCCCGCCACTGGGGTTGGAAACTTACCCTTCCCCCCAAATGGGAAAAGAACTCAGGCTCATTATAGAAACTGGTGACCCACTTCTCTGGTGCCCATTTTTTCTATCCACAATGACTCCATACTTCTAGTACTACCCTAGTAATGGTAGCAGTGGAAGCAGATAGCACAATCTAACTGCTGGCCCTGCCTCAACTGTCTCCCCACTCCAGTCATCTTCCACTCAGCTGCCCGGGTGATTTGTCTAAAGTGTAGATCTGATCATGTCCCCCACCCTGTCCAATGAGCTCCAGTGCCTCCCTATTACCTCTAGCCTCCTGTCTGGCTTAGTTAAAGAGGCAGCCAAAGGACAGAGGAAGACCTGGCTTCCAAATCCTGCCCCGGACGTTGACGAACTGTGTGATCCTGGGAAAGTCACTTAACCTTAGTCAGCCTCGATTTCCTCATCTCCAAAAACGGAGATCATAGTAGCAGCCACCCCCCAAGGTTGTTGTGAGGCTCACGAGTTAACAGATGTATAGTACTTGCAAAGGGCTATGCAAATGCTTGCAAATTCGCTATATTATTTTATATTATATTATAGATAATATATATTACTTGCAAAGTGCTGTATTATTATTTTAATAAGTTTTTACTGAGAATTTCTTTTTCTTATATCAGCATAGTAATCCCATGTACACTTCCCCCTCCTACTCCAAGAGAGCCATCCCATAAGACAAATAATATTTTTTTAGAGGGAAAAAAAAGTCAGCACAAATGAGCAATACATTGAGATGGTCTAGAAATCTGTGGCAGGTCCCACCTGTGCACTCCCAGCTCCATGCAGGGGTGGGTCGGGGGTGTCCTCTCATCTCCTCCCATTTGATCTTGACAATTTTGTCACATTTACTTTTGACTTTTTGCTGTGTCATTGTGCTTTTCATTTATGTTGTTGTAGTTACCATGTGTATTGTTTACTTGGCTCTGAATCAGTTCATATAGATCTTTCCATGCTGTGCTGATTTGATCACACGCATCAAATGTTACCATTATTATTACAATTATGTAAATTCATTTGTTTGGAATTTAAAGCTCTTGGCACCTTCCTACCTTCCCAGTCTCCTTAGCTGGAACAGTAGAAAGAGCACTGGACAACCAGTGTTTAGAGCTGAGTAAGTCACTTAACCGCTGTCTGCCTCAGTTTCCTCATCTGTAAAATAGCGCCTACTTCCCAAGGTTGTTGTGACATCAAATGAGATAATTTTGTAAAGTGCTTAGCTCAGTGTCTGGCTACATAAATATTTGTTTCTTTCCTGTTCTCCTTCCCTTCATGTGTTCTATGATCCAGCTCTTCCTCTCCTTGACTTTGCATGACTGGTCAAATCGAATAATGTATATAAAGTGTTTTCTAAACTTTCAAGTGCATATAAATGTTGGTCTTAGGATCTGCACTGAATGCTCAACCTTCTGCCCTCTGCCTTTTAGAATCCATGGCTTCAAGCCCCATGGTCTTGGACCCTGGGAAAGTGAGTCCCTGCTCTCCTCTAATCAACACTTGTCCCCTGGGCACAAAGTATCATGGGAAAGTGAGTCTTAACTCTATCAGGCATGCATGATCCACACTAATAACTAGAATACAAAGCAATTCATAATTAGGGCATTTGAGAATAAAGTTCTATGGGAGGTCTGAAGATAAAAAAAGCCATTAGCAAATGGTGCCATTAGAGAAGCAGCCTCTGAATTGGGAGTAAAACGATGAACTGGAATCCAGCAGGTGAAAAGGAGAGGGGAGGAAGGACCTTCCAGGAATAGGGAACAGCATGAGTAGAGGGATGGAGGTAGGCAAGCACAGGATATGGTCAGAGGATAAGGCTTGGCTGCAGTACAGAGTACATGATTTGGGGTCATTTGATGTATGTGATGCTTAAGAGGTATAAAATTTGCAGGTGGAACAGATCGAAGAAATCATCTTGTCCTACTCCATTTATAGATGGGGAAACTGAGACCCAGAGAGGTGAGTGGAATGATTGGCTCAAGGTTACACAGTGAGCTAGTGGCAGGTCAGGGACCAGAAGACCGGGCTCCACATTTCTAGGCCAACATTCTTTCTCCATGATCACTTTTTTGTTTTTTTATTTTTGTTTTTGCTTTTTTGGTGAGGCAATTGGGGTTAAGTGACTTGCCCAGGGTCACACAGCTAATAAGTATCAAGTATCTGAGGCCAGATTTGAACTCAGGTCCTCCTGACTCTGAGGCCAGAGCTCTATCCATTGCGTCACCTAGCTGTCCCGACCCATGATCATTTTTTAAGGTACATTTTTTGGTCCCTTCATGAAAAGTAATCTATAGGTAAGGTAGCACCAGATTGTAGAAGGTCTTGAATAACAGGCAAAAGAGGGAAGTTTGGGAGTCAATAAGGAAACTCTTATAGGATAGCTAGGTGGCACAATGGATACAGCATCAGGCCTGGAGTCATGAGGACCTGAGTTCAAATCTGACCTCAGACACTTACTAGCTGTGAGAACCTGGGCGAGTCACTTAGCCTTCACTTTCCAATCTTCTAAATGGGGGAGTATGATAGTACCTACCTTACAGAGTTGTTGGAAGATCAAGCAAGATCATATCTTTAACATCTTTTGCAAATCTTGAGAAGCAAAATGAAAGTTACCTATGATGATGATAGCATGGCATAGTGCCCAGAGAGGTAGCCTCGGAACTAGGAAGACCTGCGTTCAAATCCTGCCTCTGGTGCCTTTGGGAAGTCCTTGAGCAAGTCCTGATCTTCACAGTGCTCTGGACAACTCTCTAAGCTGCTAAGTTGCCTTGCATTGGTAGACAGCTTCCACATCTAGATCAACAAAATCCCAAGCCCAGTTCCTGTCACATCATTGTCATGATTATATTTAGAATGCAAGCTTCATGAGGACAGTGAGCTCTCAGTGGTAGGTGGACCAATGACAAGATAGTTGGGGTGTCCATGAAAGCGTGGCTGGGGATGCCTAGGCCCGGTGCTTCTCAGGCATCCTGGGCAGGCTAAGAGTAATTTGCAAGGGTGCCCAAGCATCACCATTCAGACCTTTAGCTCCAACCTGTTGCTGTATGTCTATGATCCATGGAGCCATGCAACTGAGACCTCAGGCCCGGAAGAATGTTAAAAAGAGCATTTCCCAAAGGTCAATGGAGAGCATTCAAGAAAAAACCTAATACTCTGCATGGCCTTTTAGGCACAAGCCTGCCAGGAATATTTTTATGGTCCCCTTGCCCCAAACTTGCCTTAACTGGTGTGATCTCATAAGTGAAGCAGGGTCAGACCTGGTTAGACCTTGGATGGAAGACCACCAAGGAATACCGGGGGCTGGAATATGCCACTTACCTACTGAAGAAAAATATTAATAGTATTCTCTTCACTTTAGGCACAAGTCTGCCAGACACAGCTTTTTATTAATTTACCTTCCCTCTAAATACAAGTATTTTTAGCTGAGAAAGAAAAAAAAAAGTCTAAACTGACAGTCCTTCCTACTTTGAGACACCTCTCGAAACAAGACATTTTGAAGTAGCATTTACAGGAACCTTGAACAAGGAAAGTTTCACAATGTGG